ATCAGGAGAATTTTTCTAGACCTTCCAATTGCCATCCAACGGCTAAGCCCCACAGCCCGTTTTTTCCTTTTCTTCTGATGAGACGCGGTGCGGTTTTACCCCCCTTTTTAGTACACCTGTCTATAAGAGATGGATTAATGCACAAAGCTTACCATCTTTTTTTAACTCAATATAATCACAAATGCTTGCATACACGTAAATGCAATCACCTCTATGAATACGCACGTGCACATATCCGAGATAATGAGCCGGCACATCATTTTAAGATTGATGAATTCGCCACATAAAGCTTGTTTGTCGACGGGGACGTCTTTTCTCACTTAACGAACATCGCCGAAAAGATTGAAATAAATCGGCCATCAGATTGCATAGCTTTTTTTGTGGGAACGGATTGCATAGTTATTTCTACAGAAAAAAAAGTGTAGAAGCTTAGTTTCCTGCCATACCGGGGTAATTTAATTAGGACTGTGATATTTGACACACGTGTACCATATAAGCAAAACTGCTACACCTCTACTTCTTTCATTTTAAAGTACCATACGATCCCTCGTTCTTTGACATCGCCTCCTCCCAAACGACCCCGCAGACTAGCCCGAGAAACCTGCTTCTCCCACACATCTCGGGCGCCCACCCCCGAGAAAACTGCCACTTCTTCACGTCTATCACATGATTTCTCCTCAGGACAAAGTTACCATGGTATTCGTATGCAAGTTATCAGGCATGTGTTGCATAACTTACCGTGCTATTTACATAGAACGTACGAGGTATCTATGCTTCAACAACTACATCCCTTCAAAGTTACCACTGTATTTTGTACACAAGTTATAAGGTCTTCGATGTGTAAAATACCGTGGTACTTACACATAAGTTATCAGGGTATATGTACATCAACCTCCCCCGATCAAAGTTACCATGAGGGATTGTACATGAGTTACCGGGTCTACAGTTGGTATATTATCATGGTACTTGCACCTAAAAATCTGGGTGTTTCGGTAGCTTTTTCCATAGGTCAAAAATTACCACGATGTTTTTGCGTAACTTATCACGCCTATAGCACGTGTGCCCCTCATGACACTAAACATTATATGACTTTCCCATGGCATGCCATGTGTTGTGTTCATCCAAGAGGCCCACGCGCGAGGCGACTGTATGTTTTTAACAACTTAGTTTCCTTCGGTAAAAAAGCTACCAACATGTTTATATTGCAAGTTATCGGTTATGCGGTGCTTATATTATCATGTTATTTACACACAAAAAATATTGGGGATGTTTTGAACAACTTTTTCCCGGGACAAAAAGTTATCATGGTGATTCTAGGTAACCTATCAAGCCCGTAGTGCTTAAAATATCATGCTATTTACACAAAATTTATCAGGGGTATGTTTCAGCAAATACCCCCCCACCCACCCACGGGTCAAAAACTTATCATGGTGTTTAGTTATCGCAGTGCATATGTTTTCATGCTATTTACACATAAAAATGCCAGGGGAGGGAGGTATACTACCGTACTATTTACACAGAAGATACCGGAGTATATTTTCAAAAAAAAATCCCTACGGTCAAAGTTGCCATGGTGTTTTTACCTCAGTTATCAGATGTGCGCTGCGTATATTACCATCTATTTATACATAAATTATCGGATATCTTTTCACATTTGTCTTCCCCAATGGTTAAAGTTACCACACTGTTTGTATCTAAATTGTCAGGTCTATGGCGTGAATGTTATCGTGCTATTTACAGAAATTACCGGGGGGCGGGTTCAACAAATTTATTCCCAATGATCAAAGTTACCACGAACATGTCAAAAACAGTATTTCCCTTAGCTTGCTCAACAATGAGTGTCATAGATGAGGTGGTTAGCTCCCTTTGTTGATTACCTACAGACCAGAGATCAAATCCTAGTCCAAGCATTATTTTTGCCGAAAATGGGGAAGGCGCGTGGGCCATAATTGACGATTAGGAAAATTAGGAAGGCAAGGCGTGCGAGAAAGGAAAGAAATTGGGGGAGGACGTGCGGGAAAGGAAGGAGATCGGGGCCTGGAAGGAAGGAGATCGGGAGAGAACTGATGGCGCTGGATGCGTGTGGCAGTTTCGCAATCTGCCACACGGTTGCCATATACATATTTCGATTTAATTATGATGTGTGTTAATTTCAGTTCAATATCGACTCGGTGTAGTTTCTTGTATAGATCGGTTTAGTCCATCGGGGGGTCGCGACAAGGGCTAGGACAATTTCTAATAATTAACGCCGATGAAATTTCGAGCATCCCCTGCAACCTCCTTTCTGAAAACGGGGGCATAATCTTGCCTCATTTCTTGGCTAAGAAGAATGGTACTCATTTAATTAGTGAAAGACTAGGCGAAAACTGACAAACACCCATAGCGAGCGATTGTCATAGGACAAGACAATCTCGAGGGCACGCACCACCGATCTAGCACACGACATATACACTAGACACACCTCGTTGAAGAACACCATCGAGATTGGACACAAGCATCACGACCATCGGTCCTCCTCAAGCAAATGACTCCGACTTCACCGCACATGACCATCGACAACGCCAGCCCTGCAACAGTTGCATGATGTCACAATAAGATCTGCCAAGCACGTGCTGACGACAAGGCAACTCCGATTCTGGAGGCGAGCTACAAAGGAGACAGATGCAAGGTCGTCGCCGCGAAGAATTGTCAAGCTGGATGACCCGTCGCCGGTCATCGCCCGGACCTTGCCGCCGCAACTCCAACTTCATGATAACAAATAGACTACGACGACACGCCGAAAAACCGACTACACTGCACTGAAGCTGTAGCGCTGCGACATGGCCATCTCTTCTTCTTCTTCTTCTTCTTCTTCTTCTTCTTCTTTTAGCTTGGGGAAACGACATGGCCATCTCAATGGGATGCAATCGAGTGAAGGTGAAAACTCCGGAGGTCACTTGAGAAAAAGAGACTGCCGAGAAAAAGAAATGGAGGCCGGTGCACAGAGCATGGTTTGGTTACAGATCGTTAAGATGTCTCTTTAGACATGGTCTGCTACCATCACCAAAACTTTGCAATGGAAGGAGTAACAGAGAAAATGACATAAGTGGCCACAGAAAATGAGAAGGCCCGTGTGAAAGCAAAAATAAATAAATAAATTGCGGAGATTCAGCCTCGGCGAAACCTGACCGCCATTCCCCTTTGTTGCATTGGAAATATTCTTCTGTGGAGATGAACAGAACCAAGTGCCGTGACCATGGTTGCTATCGCCTACAGCCTGAGCATGCAGAGCTTAATTACTTCAGGATACAAAAAAATAGCAGGGCGCAGAAAGTAGGCGAAAGATGAAGCAAGCCGCACCTCCACAGATCAGTCTCCCCCATCCTCCAGGCATTTTGAATACGGTCGCCGTCGAAGTTCTGATCGTCTGAATACAGATCTCATGCTATAGACATGCGCAATGCCATGTTCCATGTACGTGCCGGACTGGAATTCAGTAAGGTTTGGTTTGCATCATCAAAGTGTACTTCTTTTACACTATCTGGATGAGAACAAAAGGTTGTGTTTGGATTCCTAGTCATACACCACTACTTTACCCTTGTTACTCATGATCAAAGTGCAGGCGCATTCACAAAAAATGGTCTCTCACCAAACAGCTGTGGAAACATGGCTCAGACAAAATTTGAATTGCCAATGGTGGCCTGTCCCACATGCCATAGATATAAGAGGGGGATCAAGTTCACAAAAAGTTTGGTCACCCACCCGTTCTGGCAAAAAGTAGGCAACAATCCTGCAAAAAATAAATAAATCCACAGGCCATGCCAAACGCTGAAGTTAGAACCAATCCCAAATGGTGGTCAAATTGCTTTGAGTATCACGGAAACTGGCATGCATAACCATGTTGAACACAAGGAAACAAATAATAGGATTTCTTTACTTACCAGGCCAATGAATGATGAGTCCATAACAGAGACAAAAATCAGATATGCACCAGGATGAACAAAGATCATATACTACGTCACGTGCTGCACTCGCCTAAAGAAAAGGATGACAAGTGGGGTTCAGTCCAAATGCAACAATGGATTATTATTAATTTTTTGAAAAATTGTGGTGTTCTTCCGTCTAGATAGTCAATGGCTCAGTATAGGCTTGAAGGTTTAGATGCCCAAAGCCAGTAAAAACACAAACATGTATGTTTAGCTTCCTTGTTGTGTTTTATATCATCTAAACCGTCAGTGTAAGATACACGCTCCATATGACTCATGTTGCTCTTTCAAAAACAAGTATAGAGGAAACTGTATGACGGCTCATGTATACTCTTACCTGCAAACAGGCACAGAACCACTACCTATAAGCTTGTACCTTTGTATAGCTGACATTGGGGCTTCAGACAACACATACTCATGAACTACTTCAGGGTCTACTTGCAGGTCACATTGTTGTGGATGGCATTGCCAGTCTGCTGTATCCACTGTCAGTTTGTTCTGCTCTACATCACCAGAAATCACCACAAGAGCAGGCACCAGATTTGAAGTGGTGGAACCTGCTGCAGTCTCGCATGATGATCTCCCTGTCCTCAATCGCCGACACCATCTTCATCACCACATGGCAGTCCCCACAGACCCGCAGGTTTTTGACAATCTGTAGGGGCGTCCCTGGTGGTGTAGCTATCAGACCAAAGGCAAGAGCCAGCCGCTCACTGTGCGTGACCAGCATGGCTTCCTTCTGCTCTTCTGCCATGTCATGGAGCACAAAGCTCGTGTTCGGACAGTAACCCTCCTGCTTCAACCTGGCTGTCATCGCCTTCAGCTTTGCGTATATCTGGTCGGACAGAGGGTGCGATTTGTCGGAGGCTATAAAGGAATGGACCTTGTTCTTGATCTGAATCCAGCTGGATCCAGCTTCCTTCTTCACCTTTTTAGAATCCATGAGCTTCCTCACTTCATCCCTCTCTTTCCACCTCCCTGCGGACGCATAGATGTTGGAGAGCAGCACGTATGTAGCCGAATCGAGCGGTTCAAGCGATAGCAGCTTCTCTGCGGCCAGCTTCCCAAGCTCAACATTCTTGTGAACTCTGCATGCGCCTAGCAGTGTGCGCCATACCATTGCACCCGCTGGGAAAGGCATGTCTCCGATAAGGTTCATTGTTTCATCCAACTTGCCTGCGCGGCTGTAGAGATCCACCATGCACGCATAATGCTCCATGGTGGGACTGATCTTGTGGTCTCTAACCATGGAATCGAAGTATCGCTGGCCTTCTTGTACAAGTCCAGCATGAGTGCATCCTATGATAACCGCGAGGAATGTGACGCCATCCATCTCGACGCCTGCAGCTTCCATCTGACAGAATGTATCAAGGGCCTCCTTGCTGTAACCGTGCTGCGCATACCCTGATATCATCGAGTTCCATGACACCAAGTCTCTCTCTGTCTGCCTCTCAAAGACACTTCGAGCACTGTCAATGCTCCCTTTTCTTGCATACATGCTGACAAGTGCGCTGCCCACGCAGACAGCGTCCTGGTATCTGTATTTGATCGAAACAGCGTGGAACTGCCTACCCTGGTCAACCCCAGCGGTGGGACTAGCACATGCATCGATGACACTAGAGATAGTAAACTCATTTGGCTTCATGCCTTGCATGGACATCTCCATGAACACATTTGTGGCACCATCGCAGTCGCCAGCTTGGGAATAGCACGACAACATTGCAGACCATGCAACAACGTCCTTCTGGTCAATGGTTTCAAATATAGAGAGGGCTTCTCCAGTGCTTCCAAGCTTTGAGTATGAGGCAAGAAGTGCAGTCCCAACAGACGGTGCATGCTGGTAGTTGGTTTTGATGATCTGGGCATGAATCTGGGGAGGCAAGACTGGCAGTGATGTTGTGAGCATCGTCGAGTAGGTGAATTCATTTGGCTTGACATTGTCTTCTCTCATTCTGCTAAAGAGTGAGGCAGCAAGAGGAATATCACCGTTCTGAATGCACCCGCCTATCATAGCAGTCCATGAAACGACACTCTGAGATCCTGGCATCAGCAAGAAAATGTTGAAAGCATCATCCAGTTCACCGCATTTGCTGTAGGCATCCATAATGGCTGTCATGACATTGCCATCTGAACTGAACCCATGTTTTAGCACACAGCTGTGGAGCTGCCGTGCCAGGGCCAGCTGTTTGAGGTTTGCACATAGCTTGATCACCGTCGAGTAGGTCGACTGTGACAGCTTCGCCATGCTTGCTCGCGAGTCATGGAACAGCTGCAGGGCCTCCACCTCACACCCATTCAACAGAAGGCCTGCCATCAACGTGTTCCACGACACCATGTCCCTGGTCTCCATGCCACAGAACACAGCCTTGGCTTCTTCAACCAGCCCGCACTTTGCGTACATGTTCATCAGGGAATTGCAAACGAACACGGTCGAGCGGCATCCGAACTTGACCGACTGAGCATGCACGCGCCGCCCGAGCTCGAGCGCGCCCTGGCCCGCCACCGCGGAGAGGACGCTCGTGAACGTGAACGGGTTAGGCCATACCCCCTCGGCGCGCATCCTGAAGAAGAGCGCCATGGCGTCCGAGTGCGCCCCGGCCTGCGCATAACCAGTGAGCAACGACGTCCATGTGCCGACGTTCCTCTTTGGCATCCCCTCGAACACCAGCCTCCCGTCCTCCACGCCACCGCACTTCGTGTACGCGTCGACGAGCGCCGTGCCGACTCCGACGTCGGCCCGGTCGAGCCCGCACTTGACGCAGAGGCAATGCAGCTGCTCCCCGATGGCCCTGCAGCCGCCCGGCATCGCCCCGCACGCCTTGAGAGCGCAGGACAGCATGGCGCCGTCGAGGTGTTCGCCGCCGAGGCGCCGTGCGGCCGAGAAATGGCCCAGCGCCTCCCGCCCCATCCCGCGCCGCGCGCACTCGACGAGGGCGTTCCGGCTGGAGCCGGAGCTGGCCCCCGCCGCGTCGTCCCGGCCGGGAATTCCGTCGAACGCCCCGCGGGCGCTCCGGGTGTTGGGGCGAGCTGCGCCATCCTCCTCCAGCCGGGCCGACGAGGCGCGCGTGGCCAGCCGCTGCCGGGACGCGAAGGCCCGGGGCAGAGCTGGGAGCGCCGTCCTCAGCGCCATGCTACCTCGCTTCGTCGCTGGAGTCCATGGCGGCGAGCCGGCGACGCGCGTGGCGGTGGGGAGTGGGAGTGGGAGTGAGGAGAGTCGGGGCTAGACCAGACCAGTCGGTTTGACTTTTGGCTCGCGGTGCCTGGGCCGATAGGAGTTGGCGCGGCCGGACCCGGACCCGGCCCACACCGGACGAGCCCAAACAGAATGGCCACCACCTCCGCCTATTACGCAGTGGCGGCCGGCGGCGGGGACGCGGCGTCGCCGTGCCGGGGCGCCCCTCTCAGGCCACGGCCTCCCCCGCATCGCCTCGCCTTCCTCTCCCGGGCGCCCGCTCGGCGGGCCTCGATCTCGCTGCCGCCGGGGCCTCGCCGGGCGGGTCTGACAGCGGCGACCGCGGAGGGGAGGGCGGGGACGGGGATGGAGGACGAGGAGGAGGGGCCGGCGTGGGTGGAGCTGGAGCCGATCGGCGGCGAGGAGCAGCTGGACCGGGCCCTCGCCGAGGCCCAGCAGCGCGGCGTCCCCATCGTCGTGTTCTGGTAAACTACCTGCCTCCCTATGGTTTGCTCTGAATTTTAACTAGGTCCCGATTAGGACAGGATGAAATGGGTTATCATGAATCATGCTTCAGCTAACTTGGATTAGGCTTCAATGCTTCACGGTTGTGTGGCCTTATGGGGGTAGAAATATCGCATCTTGGATGAAAAGGGGCTCATCTAGTTACCCTGTGTATGGCTCTTGGTAGCTCTTGGTCAGCTCTGAGTGGTGATTGGAGAGCTCACCTTCAGTTTTACCCATAAAGCGCGTTGTCGTGTGCGACCCTTCTAGCGACTTGTTTCGGTACCGGCGTCTAAACTCTGCCAAATCTTGGTGGTTGTGTGATGTGTATTTGGAAGACTTGTTTTTCCGAAATGCAACAATAAGCAGCTCACCCTGCACATTCCATTTTGCTGTTGTTGTAGCCAGTAGTTAGGTTCAGTGTCTCTTCTCCTGGTTCATATCTTAGGCGGATCCGCATGTCGCTTACATGTATTATGTTTACCACATAAATACAGTATCATTGCTACAAGGTGTTTCGTCATATATACTCTTGTACAAAAGTACTTCAATACTAATGTGCAGTTTATCACCTTTTTTACATCAGTTTCGGCAGTAGGTTCCGTAAATGGATTGCCAGATGTATTTCAAGTAGTTGTCTGACATAGTGATGACTGTCAAAATTATCCCACGGTGTCTTACAGTCTGGGTTGAGAATAAATACCAGCATTTGCAATATGCAGGACGGCAAGTTGGTGCAGGAAATGTATATATCTGAAGCCTAAGCTGGAAAAGTTGGCGGCAGAGTACTATCCGAGGTTAGAGCTTTGGTTGCCATGTTGACAAAGTACTGCACCTCTGGAGTTGTTATCGACAAATTTATGATCTCTGTCATTATTTGCTCTGCAGAATCCGGTTTTACTGCGTCGACGTCAATGCTGTTCCACAGAAGCTCGTGAATCGTGCAGGAGTAACGGTAAGTATCTGCCGTGTGTTGAGTTGGTTCTGCTGTACTTGCGCTCATTAACGAACAATGATATCAGAACCTTTTCTTGACGCTCAAGTGTGCTTTCTTGTTAGCAAACAGCCCAAACCCGTTTCATTTTTGTATCTTTTGTTGGAACTTCTCGGCGTTCTTTCTTGGTCTCTGTTCCCTATTTTGGAGGAAATGGTTCCTCTGTGTTGCCCCTGGAAACTTTGCTTTCAGTTGCCGGCTTCCTGCAACTTGTACCTACTACCCAAGCGTTTCTTTCTTAGCCGTATGCACATATCCTGTAGCTTTGGTAACAACAAAGCATACCAAGGATGGCCCCATCATGCGTTTGGCTTCATCGTTATCTTGTCCTGCAACAATTAAATACATGTTGGCCTATATTGGGATCTCAAGTGGATATATTTATCTAAGCGCTAATGCCTTCTTTTGTCCAATCTATGTGATCCTTTATGCGGGACTCGAGCAGAAGATGCCTTCCATACAGGTACAAGTAAAGCTTGTTTCTTTCTTTATGGTCTCCATCTCGGCGTTGTGTTTCCTGAGGCCGCTGTTTCTTGTCCTGTAAAGATGTGGAGCGACTCCCGGAAGCAGGCCGAGGTGATCGGCGGGCACGAGTCGTGGATGGTGATCGAGGATGTTCGGAGGATGGTCGAGCAGGAGGAATGAATGATCCAACGCGGCGATGGTTTCCGTGGCACGACCGGCCTTTCACACCGCGGTAAAATGGAGGAAACAAGATAAGAGGCGGAGTGGAGAAAACAAGATCGAGATTGAGCTATATGTGTCCAGTTTTGTATAATCATCGCCGCGCGGACGCCTAGGGTTCTTGCTGGGATGGGGGCTTCGCTTGCTGGGGTCCTCTCTAGGATTTAGAGGATTGGAGGGACATGCTCTTGATGTATCTATCTATTTTGAGTTTCTGAGATCAGAAGGCTTTCCATTAGTCATCGTTGTAGCAATAAAATAATATCCAATCAATGACCTTGCAGAGAATTAGAATACATGCTGGGTGCTTTGGTGCCAATTATTCCGTGGTGTCCACTTTGAACTAGTTGCACAGATGGATAAACAGAATATAATTGCAAGGCTTTTATTTGTTAGAAAGAAATTAAGTTACTGTTTTTTTTCAGGATTAGCATACAATTATGTCTCCCTCTTGGCCTGAATCAGTCAAAACACAAGAGTGTGCTTGCTAATTAGAGAGGGGTGGGAGTATTTTAATTTGCAAGTGGTGGCAGCCTTGTACATGGATGCTTTAATAGGAGTATTTAGGTTAGCTGCCCATGGATATATGTTCATACTTTTCTAAAAGAATATATTATTTCCATACTATATTCTCTCCAATCACAAACAGTAGCTGGATGTTTTCTCTGCCTATAGTATTTCTTAATATGATTGCAACCTCAGCACCTTCTTGTGTCTGTCAATTTTTTTATTAAATGAAATTACCCACTACCTTTCTTTACACCCTGTAATTCAGGATGGATGACAAGAACAGACCCCAGAAGGACTGTCTGTCTGTTGGTTTGGCTTTTCTTTGACTATATACTAGTACTGGTTTATATTTTTCAAATCAATTTATGTACGTAGATTAAACATTTTAGAAAAGGGAAAAAAAGAACATCAGAAGGTCATGATTTTTCTTCATCAGATGGACGGCGGCGCCCACCTGTCAGTCGCAGCCCCAACAGAAACGATAGGGATAGGCTGACAGGGCGCCTGATGCGCAGTCAGCCCACGAGATTTCCGTTTCGAGCATGAGATTTCTGATGAGGAGTAGTTCGTTAAGAGGGCGCTGTAAGATTCGTGCGGGGTTCCATCGGACGGCGCACGCGGCCCGCAGAGGCGGCCAGATGGGTCCCCTGGCCGGGAACACACACAAAAATCACACGTCCCCCTCGCTGCCTCATTGGCCTCTCCTCCACGCGGCAGCCGCTTTTACAAAATTTCCACACCTCGGGGTGTGATTTATGTCTTTTTGGTTGCAGCAGAGGAATTTTTAGAGGACAGCGATTTTTCGCACAACTTTTGACAAAAGCACGAAGAGGAGCAAAGCAGTTCTCTCTCTTTCTTCTTCTTTTTCTCCGGTGAGCATGAGTAAGAGTTGATTTCAACATCCCTGCAGTTTTCTTCCTCTGTGCCGCTATGTGCATAGGGATTCCGGTGGTTTTTGTTCTTGTGATATTCAAAATGATATCCCCGCAAAAAATTATATTCAAAATGATATGATTTTGCGTATTTTCATCCTCGCGTTCCAGCGAGACTATGGGCATCTCCAATGCAAAACGCCTATACATGCGCTTAGGTGTATAAAAAAATCACTGGGCGCTTTGTGCTCCTACGTCAGATGTTAATTTTTGGGCGCCAAAAAAGAACATACCGGGCTCTTTACCCCACATAGAAAAGACACAAGTGTCCGCTTTCAGTTTTTGCACCGATGCCTAGTCTGGCACCCGGAATCAAGGGCCCAACTGCCCTTTGACGAGGAAATAAATCCTGGCGCCTCTCTCCTAGCGTCTGCGCTGGACATGCCCTAAGGGCATGCTTTGTTTGTAGCCAAAAATTGTCTAGTCAATATTTTGGCAAGTTAATATTTGACAATGGTGTCGCTCAATTATAAGCTAAGGAAGGTTGCAGGAATGAATTATGCAAAACATGGCATATCCCTCCGGGTTTTGTGGTATGGATGCTTTAAACTCACTTAACAGAGATCGTTGAATAAATGCAACACTTCCATCTCAATAAAATAACATTTGGTAATGCTTAAATTTGCCTACAATTGCAACCTTTACAGAGATTGACAAAGCAGTTTGGTAGGCAAGCAATTGATAGCCAATGTTTTTGGCTTTGTCAACACAAAGTAAAACGCGGACCAATCTGTGAAGGATGGTTAGGAGAACTGTGGTATCCCCAACCAACCAAAGTTCAAGTCCTAGACTTGACATTGGTGCTCGTATCTTTCTAGATTTATTTTAGGTGCTCATAGATGTAGGGTGTGCGTGCGTGCGTTTGCTCCTGTGCGAGCGACACGTGCGGACGCCCCCAACCCTTGCCGCCGCCACCGAAAATTTGCTCGTCATTGGCCTCCTCTATTCTGCTTCCCTCTCGCGGCACTTGAAAGCACCTGGCGACCACAATGTTGTGCTTCATGCACTAGTGAGTGCCCAGGTGGCGCGGCCGTGCCATTAGCGCTTGGCTCGGCGCATGCACGCGAGGAGTGCTCTGGGTTGCGTCTTAGCGGTCTCATCGTCCTATGTTATGGTTGGTTGGCCGAGATAGCGACTATTGCAAGGACCTGTAGTGGGGCGCTTCATGCGCATGTGCCTGCTCTCTGCCCCCTTGATCTCCCCTATTTTGTTTCCCTCCTACAGGCTACAGCGCTTCGAAGCACCCAACGGCCGCAAGAACGTGGTGTTCATGCGCCGGTGAGCGTCTAGGTAGCACGATCATGCCATTTATGATCGGTTCGGTGCAAGTTCATAAGGGTGCTCTAGGTTGCATCCTAGCAGTGGCTCCCTCCTGCAGTGCTCCGAAGCACCCAACGGCCGCAGCGCTATGGCGTTCGTGCACCGGTGAGCGTCCAGGTAGCGCGGTCGTGCCATTCCGATCGGCTCGGTGCAGGTTGATGACCCACAAGTGTAGGGGATCTATCGTAGTCCTTTCAATAAGTAAGAGTGTCGAACCCAACGAGGAGCAGAAGGAGATGATAAGCAGTTTTCAGTAAGGTATTATCTGCAAGTACTGAAATTATCGGTAACAGATAGTTTTGTGATAAGGTAATTTGTAACGGGTAATAAGTAAATAAAGTAAATAAGGTGCGACAAGATGTTCCAATCCTTTTTGTAGCAAAGGACAAGGCTGGACAAACTCTTATATAAAGGAAAGCGTTCCCGAGGACACATAGGAATTATCGTCAAGCTAGTTTTCATCACGCTCATATAATTCGTGTTCGGTACTTTGATAATTTGATATGTGGGTGGACCGGTGCTTAGGTATTGTCCTTCCTTGGACAAGCATCCCACTCACGATTAACCCTATTGCAAGCATCCGCAACTACAAAAGAAGTATTAAGGTAAACCTAACCATAGCATGAAACATATGGATTCAAATCAGCCCCTTATGAAGCAGCTCATAAACTAGGGTTTAAACTTCTGTCACTCTAGCAACCCATCATCTACTTATTACTCCCCAATGCCTTTCCCTAGGCCCAAACAATGGTGAAGTGTCATGTAGTGGCAAAGAGCAAAGTCATAGAAGACCAAAGCTATGCCTTGGCGGAGGGAGACAAAAAAACCCTAAAGCGATCAAAAGAACTATCAACGATATACAACGAAGACCACTGGCACCAACTATACCCTGGCAACACAAGGACCATGTGAAAGGTTCTCCATAAGCAATACTTCCATGAAGGAAACGACGCGCAAGCACCTCTAGAAGGTTGTGCCTTCTCTTGGGTTGTCAATTTCTTCTTATATTCTTTAACCTTGTTACCTGTACGGTATATTGCCTTCTTTCCCTCATAAAGGGATCAACTTGTTCAGGTTATCGATCCAATTGTCCATCTAAACTGGAGCAGCCAAATACTAAGAGGGTAACTACTCTTGGCTTTTGACATCTTTGAGCAATATATTCAGGTAGGGAACTCTCCTGCCGTGACTCCTCAAAAAACTTATCTAAATAAGCCATTTAAAGTGAACCCAAACTAATTATACAAAAGTAGGTTCGTGAAAAAATAACCTCTTGCAAACTGAGCGTAACTCAGATGGTTAGGTTCCTTGTGGTGAAATCATCCCACTAGGGTTTTGAAGGAAATATGCCCTAGAGGCAATAATAAAGTTATTATTTATTTCCTTATAATCATGATAAATGTTTATTATTCATGCTAGAATTGTATTTACCGGAAACATAATACATGTGTGAATACATAGACAAACAAAGTGTCACTAGTATGCCTCTACTTGACTAGCTCGTTAATCAAAGATGGTTATGTTTCCTAACCATGAACAATGAGTTGTTATTTGATTAACGAGGTCACATCATTAGTAGAATGATCTGATTGACATGACCCATTCCATTAGCTTAGCACCCGATCGTTTAGTATGTTGCTATTGCTTTCTTCATGACTTATACATGTTCCTATGACTATGAGATTATGCAACTCCCGTTTACCGGAGGAACACTTTGGGTACTACCAAACGTCACAACGTAACTGGGTGATTATAAAGGAGTACTACAGGTG